AAAAAAAAAAAAGGAGGAGGAGGAAAGAACTCCTAAGAGGAGTTCCCTGGTTACCTAGTGGTTAGGGTTTAGCACTTTCACTGCAGAGGCCCAGGTTCGGTCCCTGGTCGGGGAACCTTCCTGCCTGACAGTGACATGACGGGGCTGAAATACACACATACACAGAGAACTCCTACAAGGAACAACTCCTTTGCTTCCCACCCTCAAAACTCAAGGATACTCTAAAATCCAGCATCTCTCTAAGTGTGCTCTGCAGACCAGTAGACACATCACTTGGGAACTTGCTAAAAATGCTGTGTCTCGGGATCCACCCCACACGTCCCCTGAATCAGAAGCTCTCACGATGGGCCCCAGAAATCTGAGCTGTAACAAGCACTCAGAGGATGCTGATGCTCTGGTCCTGTTGTACAAGGCCCAGCATGATCTTGGCCACATTCTCCATCACTCCTATCAACACCCTCTGCCCCAGGAAACAACCTCCCCACTGGCAAGCACCCCCGCACTCTGCATCTGCCCTGTCTCTGCTCCCCCACACCTATATGCTTCACTTCTACTCAATATCTTTGTTGCTCGGCTCACCTGCCCTAAGAGGATGACTCCCAAACCCACCGAATCAGAATATAGAGGAGCTTGGAAAAATTGTGAGCACCCCAGGGCCCAGTTGGTCTTCAGGGGCCCCAATACCTAGGCCTGCCCTCACAGCACTCAGTAAATGTGTGCTGGGCGGTGGATGGACATGCAAGCAGGTGGCCAAGCTCAGAGAAGCGCCTAGGGGGAGGAGGCCCTACCTCCGGCACCTGCAGGCAGCCGATGAGAGCATTCCTCACCACGGAAGGCTCGGTGGTGGCCTTCTCCGTGATGATCAGCGAGGCCAGCCTCTTCCTCATGTCAAAACCTGCTCCTGCAGCATCCGTTTTGGTTGAGTCGCTCTCCATGATGTTGAGGAGGTTTGTGACTTGTTGGAAGGTACCTGAGACAAAGGTGGTGGAAGTGATGGCAAGATGACTGTTACAGGGGGTGCCCCCATTGCCCCAGTATCTCCCTGACACCAGCCCAGCCCTAGCCCCACCTGGGGCATGGGTGGGACCTTCCTGCCCACTGTACAGATGGGAAAACTGAGACCTTGGCTGGGGCTTACCCACGAGGAGGTAGCCAAAATGAGGCAGGAATGCAGGGAGGGGGTTGGTTTTCTCAGCACTGTCCTCTGGTTCCAGAGGCCCCAGGTCCTCTCTTTCCTCTGATGGGTCCACATGTGACTCTGTTCCTGTTTCTGCCATCTCTTCTTCAAGCTCTTTGGAGGTAAGATTAATAAAATACTTGGCATGTCACCCATTCTAGGACGACCCGCAGTGAGTCCCACCCTGCACAACCCCCTTCCCTAGAGTGTGGGAGGAACCTGTAACTTGGGGAGACCCATATTCTAACGATGGCTCAGTGAGTGCAGGAGACTCGCATTCGATCCCTGGCTCAGGAACATCCCCTGAGGAGGAAATGGCAGTCCACTCCAGTGTTCTTGCCTAAAAAATCCTATGGGCAAAGGAGCCTAGCTGTCTACAGTTCCAAGGGTTGCAAAGAGTCAGTCATGATTGAATATACACGCGCACATGCATGCACATGAGCGCGCGTGCGCGCGCACACACACACACACTAGCCAATCGCATATGGCTAAGGTGAGGGGACCCTCCCATGATGGTCTTACTCCCATGATTACATTGTATCTCACACAACTGCATCTCAGCAGACTGGGATTTCTCATGCTGTACTTAAAAAGTAAACAGCACTGATATTAACTCCCTGTGTCATAAGGAACCGAGGGCCTCAGTCCTACATCCGAAAGGAACTGGATTCTGTCAACTCCCGCATGAGCTTGGAAGAGGACTGGGCTGCAGAAGGGTTGCAGCCCAGGTGACCTCCTGAGGGCAGCCTGTGAGACCCCAAGCTAACGACCCACTGAGCCACGGTCTCCTGACTACAGAAACTGTGAGATAATACATGGGTGTTGTTTCAGGCCATTGCATTTAGGTGATCTGTCACACACTGATAGAGCACTGCCCCTGCTTAGGAAGGGCCTTTCCTCCCCTCTCTCTGGACACAGAAAACTAATGATCAGTGAGGAATCCCCCTGAGCTGCCCTCATGACACCTCTCCAGGGGCTCCCTTCTCACCAGCAGCTTCTGAATTGCTGACAAACACCAACACAGATGTCAACACGGAGAATTAAGACCTCCCCGATCCTTTCTCCTCCCATCCCAAGTTTCTCAAGCTCCATCCCAGGGTCTTTCACTATCCTGTGCTCCCTTCCTCGTGGGGTCCTTTAAGGAGTAAGCCTGGGACCTATACACTGACCTTTTCTCCGAGTTCTCTCCTGGACAGAACAAAAACACACCACAAGGAAAAGCTCCGTTCTCTGCCCGATACACATCAACAGTAGTGCGGAGGACGGCAGGATGGGTTGACAAAGCAGGAGCCCTTGGGTGTCCTCAGTCGTGACTCAATGGGGAGCAGGTCCCCTGGCAGGGTGGGGGTGGGTTTCACTGGAATCATCACCGTTGGGTCCCAGGCCCTTGGATCGCTCAGATCCAACTCCCTCCCTGGGCTCTGTGAGCCCACTCTTGGAGGAGTGCAAAGGTCCAGGTGATTGAAAAACCGCATTACTTTGTTACTCAGCTTTTCTGTCACCCACATGTGTGGTGAGGTATGGTGGCATTTTTGGGGAAAGGAACATTTGGGGGAAGGTGGCAATTCACAGCCAAGTCCCCTGAGGACATAGGCATAGGAGCCTGGGGTGGGGAGGTGTGGTCAGGGCAGTTGGAGGAGACGGGTGGACAGAGGGGTCCTGAGAAGAAGAGTCCTCTTCCCCAAGGACTGGACAGCTTGCAGGATGGGGCAGGGTGGTCCCGCTGACAGAATGAGAAGAATACAAAGAATTTCAAAACAAGTGAAAGGACCCTGTTTCCCTGAACCAAAAGTGGGGCTCGGAGACTGTCCTTGTCATTTTTAGCTGAGAGAGAGCCCTGATCAGCAGTTTGAGCAATCAAATCATGAATTTCTATGCATTACAGATCAAACCAGTGAATCCTAAAGGACGTCAACCTTGAATCTTCATTGGAAGGACTGATGCTGAAGCTGAAGCTGAAGCTCTGATACTTTGGCCGCCTAATGTAAAGGGCTGACTCATTGGACAAGACCCTGATGCTGGGAAATATTGAAGGCAGGAGGAGAAGGGGATGACAGAGGATGAGATGGTTGGATGGCATCACCGACTCAATGGACATGGGTTTGGGTGAATTCCAGGTTTTGGTGATGGACAGGGAGGCCTGGCGTGCTGCAGTTCATGGGGTCACAAAGTGTCGGGCACGACTGAATGACTGAACTGAACTGTTATCACTGAAAATACCCTTCTATCCACGTGCCTCTTCTTCTCCACTTGTTCTTTAATTTTGTCCACAACTTTGTTGGTTTGTTTTCTTCTTTGTGTTACACATAGAAGTTTCAAAAATGTGGGTTTTCCAACTGGGGATGGGGTCACACTAGCTAGGATTTCTGCTGACCCCAGCCCACTTTAATCCTTCCCTAGGTGGCTTTGGGAACACAAGCTGTTCACACCAGTTATGTTCCCAAAATCTTGCTGGGCGACAGATGCCAAACAGAAATACAGAGACAGAGTTTGGAAGCAATAAAAAAGAGTAAATTATTTTTTCCAGGAAAAGGGAAACAGCAGGCTAGCACCTGGAGAGCTGTGCCCCTCCCATGGGAATAGAAAGAAGTTTTACATCCTCTAGAAGGTCATGGTTGTTGTTTTTTTTTTCTTCATCAGAGTTTCAAAATAACCACAGCTTGTATCAGGCAAATCAGCCACTGGGTCTGGTGTCCCTAAAGTTATTGACCTGTGACCTTTCTGAAATACAGCATGCTACAAGAGAGTGTGGGCTTCCAAGGTGATGCAAGTGGTAAAGAACCTGCCTGCTAATGCAGGAGACATAAGAGATGTAGCTTCGATTCCTGGGTTGGGAGATTCCCCGGAGAAGAAAATGGTAACCCACACCAGTATTCTTGCCTGGGGAATCCCATGGACAGAGGAGCCTGGGTCACAGAGAGTCAGACACGACTGAACAGCAACCACCCATCTCTGTATCCACCACGCGGAGAACCAGAGTTAGCTGCACACTGCAAGTGCACAGTCAGGGTCTTTGGGATGGAACTGCAATCATGTCACTTGAATAATCTTTGAAAGAAAAAGCCCAGAGGAGAGTGGAAGATAGAGCAAATGTGGGCTGTGAAAGAAGGGGCATGTGACGAGTGCCTTTGGGGGTCTGTCCCATACTGGTTAACATGTCTGCAGAAGGCAGACTGAGGAACAATGAGTGAATTTTGTGGGGATGAGTGTTGGCACTACATGTTGGACACTTGTTTTCTGACCACCTGGATTCAGTGAAGTCGAGATGGACTGCTGCGGGTCATGGGCTCCCTGGTGTGAGAGGCAGCATGCAGAGGTTGAGGCAGTGTGGACAGACGCTAAGCTGGAATCTTAATTAAAAAGTCTTGGACCTAGGTGCTTTGGGTCTTGCTCTGTTGACCTCTGATGCATTTGTTATTGTTTTAGTAGCTAGTTTAGTTCAGTTCAATTCAGTCAGTCATGTCCGACTCTTTGCCACCCCATGAATAGCAGCACGCCAGGCCTCCCTGTCCATCACCAGCTCCCAGGGTTTACTCAAATTCATGTCCATCGAGTCGGTGATGCCATCCAGCCATCTCATTCTCTGTCATCCCCTTCTCCTGCCTGCAATCCCTCCCAGCATCAGGGTCTTTTCTAGCGAGTCAGTTCTTTGCATCAGGTGGCCAAAGTATTGGAGTTTCAGCTTCAGCATCAGTCCTTCCAAGGAACACCCTAGATTGATCTCCTATAGAATGGACTGGTTGGATCTCCTTGCAGTCCAAAGGACTCTCAAGAGTCTCCAACACCACAGTTCAAAAGCATCAATTCTTTGGTACTCAGCTTTCTTCACAGTCCAACTCTCACATCCATACATGACCACTGGAAAAACCATAGTCACTGTTTCCACTGTTTCCCCATCTATTTGCCATGAAGTGATGGGACCAGATGCCATGATCTTAGTTTTCTGAATGTTGACCTTTCAGCCAACTTTTTCACTCTCCTCCTTCACTTTCATTGAGATGCTTTTTAAAATGTTTCTCTTCACTTTCTGCCATAAGGGTGGTATCATCTGCTTTTCTGAGGTTATTGATATTTCTCCCAGCAATCTTGATTCCAGCTTGTGCTTCTCCCAGCCCAGTGTTTCTCATGATATACTCTGCATATACGTTAAATAAGCAGGGTGACAATATATAGCCTCAATATACCCCTTTTCCTGTTTGACACCAGTCTGTTGTTCCATGTCCAGTTCTAGCTGTTGCTTCCTGACCTGCATACAGGTTTCTCAAGAGGCAGGTCAGGTGGTCTGATCCATCTCTTGCAGAATTTTCTAGAGTTTGTTGTGATCCACACAGTCAAAGGCTTTGGCATAGTCAATAAAGCAGAAATAGATGTTTTTCTGGAGCTCTCTTGCTTTTTTGATGATCCAGTGGATGTTGGCAATTTGATCTCTGGTTCCTCTGCCTTTTGGAAAACCAGCTTGAGCATCTGGAAGTTCACGGTTCACGTGTTGCTGAAGCCTGTCTGAAATTAGACTTCCCTGGGGGCTCAGATGATAAAGCATCTGCCTACAGTGTGGGAGATCCGGGTTCAGTCCCTGAGTTGGGAAGATCTCCTGCAGAAGGAAATCACAACCCACTCCAGTACTCTTGCCTGGAAAATCCCATGGATGGAGGAATGTGTTAGGCTTCAGTCCATGGGATTGCAGAGTTGGACACGACTGAGCGACTTCACTTTAGTAGCTAAGTCGTGTCCAAATCTTTGAGACTCCATGGACTGTAGCCTGCCAGGCTCCTCTGTCCATGGGATTCTTCAAAAAAGAATACTGGAGTGGGTTGCCCCTAGAGAGAGGGCTGGTGAAAGAGGATGTGCTGGGTGCGGGGTTGGAGTGAGGCCAGCGGGCACAGCAGTCACGGGCCCGGGACTAGCTGACCCCCTCAGCCATGGGGTGGGTGCAGCTTAGACGGCCTTGGCCGAGACCCAGGCTGGACAGCAGAGCCAGCGGGCCTGAGGCGGTCAGTCAGTGGGTCGGAGTGCGGTTCTGGAGAAGCGAGGCTGAGACAAGGCTGTCGGGGTGGGGAGGGACCGACCATCTCATCACAGGACTGTGCGATGCCCAGGCTGGCTGATCCCAGCACCCCCACCTCAGCCCCATCGCCCCCATAGGAATTTCGGGATAGGCTCCTGTGCTACATCATGGAGATAGACTACACGGAGGCCTTGACCCCCATCTGCGGCAGCCTCACCAACCTGGCCGAGTGCCTGCTGCACGCCAACGACGAGAGAAGCCAGCACAAGTAAGAGCAGGCACGGCGGGCAGCCCCCCTGCACCAGCTGGAGGGACTGGGCAGGTGGGCCGCCCCGTGCCTTGGACCGCTCCCCCTTCTCCAGGAAGCAGCCTGGAGCCCAGAGAGCCAGGCCTTGCCAAAGAGGCCGCCCTTGCCAAAATCCGAGGAGGTTAAAGCCATGCACACTTCCTCTGGCAGCCCACTCCTCTCGTCCCCACCTCGTGCCCATCCTGGCCCAGACCCCAGGGCAGGGGTCCTGGCTCAGACTTCAAGCAGGTGTGAGCTCTCTGGCCCCCGTGAGCCCACTGGAAGGACTGTATATCCCATTCAACTCCTCTGGAACAACCCCCACCAGGCCCTCCGACTCACCGTGATGATGCACTTGTTAGCACCAGACCCTCAAGAAAGGAACTAGACCGACCTACTTACGGGGACCCTGCTGTCCCAGGGGGCTGCTGTCATGGTCCTGGGGCTTTGAGTATGGATGTGGCCGGTGACAGAAGGTGACTGTGAGCCTACAGGACCCAGCGATGGTAGGGGCAGAGCCTGCTCTGAGCATTCGGCTAGACCACTCCTGGTCTGCCTCCTGCCTGGACCCTGAGTCTAGGGCTGGCTCCTTTCTGGGTGCCGCCCCTCCTTGCAGCTTCCAGCAGGCCTGCCCTTCCCTCGCTTGCTGGTCCAAATGCTGTGAGATCCCTACTTGTGGGTTCACAGCCTCCCAAAGCCTGAAGAGGGAGGGGAGGGGAGGGGGCGGTGTCTAGTTACTGTTGGCTCAAGGAAGCCAAGACTCACAGTAGGAGAGAAACACTCTCAGGCTGGCCGGGTGTGCACTCCCAAGCTGGCGTGTCCTGAAATTATATGCACGCATATATATGGAATTTGGAAAGATGGTAACGATGACCCTATATGTGAGAGAGCAAAAGAGACACAGATGTAAAGAAGAGACGTTTGGACTTGGTGGGAGAATGCAAGGGTGGGATGATGTGTGAGAATAGCACTGAAACATGTACATTACCATATGTGAAATAGATCGCCAGTCCATATTGAATGCATGAAACAGGGCAGGCACTCAGGCCTGGTGCAATGGGATGACCCTGATGGGTGCGATGGGGAGGGAGGTGGGAGGGGGGTTCAGGATGGGGAACATATGTCCACCCATGGCTGATTCAGGTCAGTGTATGGCAAGAACCACCACAATATTGGAAAGTAATTAGGCGCCAATTAAAATAAATAAATAAATAAATTGGAAGAAAAAAAACACAGCGGTTGTGTATGGATGTGAGTGTTGGATTATAAAGAAAGCTGAGCGCAGAAGAATTGATGCTTTTGAACTGTGGTGTTGGAGAAGACTCTTGAGAGTCCCTTGGACTGCAGGGAGATCCAACCAGTCCATCCTAAAGGAGATCAGTCCTGGGTGTTCATTAGCAGGACTGATGTTGAAGCTGAAACTCCAGTACTATGGCCATCTGATCCAAAGAGCTGACCCATTTGAAAAGGCCCTGATGCTGGGAGGGATTGTGGGCAGGAGGAGAAGGCGATGACAGAGGATGGGATGGCATCACCGACTCGATGAACATGGGTTGAGTAGGCTCCAGCAGTTGTGATGGACCGGGAAGCCTGGGGTGCTGCTGTCCATGGGGTCGCAAAGAGTCAG